ACCAAATTATCTGCCGCTATCAAGAAAAAACGACGAAGACGAGTCAATGTAGTTTTACTGCACGATAACGCTCGACCTCACGTCGCATCTGTGGTTCGCCGGCAATTGGAGAACTTGGGCTGTGAGACGATACCCCACCCACCTTATTCCCCCGACCTCGCCCCATCAGACTATCATTTGTTTAGAGCCCTGAAACAGCATTTGCGGGGTAAACAATTTAATGATTTCTCTGACATAGAGGCGGAGTTGAACAACTTTTTCGAGGCACAGCCATCAGAGTTCTGGGCAAAAGGCATCCAAACTTTGCCGGATTGTTGGCAAGACGTCTTAGATACTAATGGTAATTACATCATTGACTAAACTTTTTTTATTGTAATAATAATAAAAAAGTAAAAACTTAAACCAAGTGTTTCATTAATTTATTGACCTCAATTACACAAACAAATACATCACAATAAATAATTCATAACAATAAAAAAAAACATACTACTATTAATAAACAATACAGTAATAACATTTACAGAGGTCAATCAGGACCCTGCCTCAGCTTGTGTTGTCGTGACACACATGTGTGCCGCGTCAACGCTGTTATTCTGACAGGACCTGTTTGGTGCGCGACAAATACTATTATATACATTACATTTAATAACATACTATTAAATACAATTATTATTTTACAAAATACAATACTTTCTGTAGTGAGATCTTTTTCGTCAAACAAGTTAAGCGCACGTTACAAGTGAGAGAAAAGAAAGTAACATGTGGTTCTTGAAATAAATGTAGTCTTTAATATACAAATGACAAGGAGATCATTGAACCCAGCCAGCCCGACTAGAGCGAGAAAAAAGGTAGAAAGGCAACGGGCAAAGGTAACCACATATCCTTCGATAGCCTCAAGTGCTGGCCGCGCTCATCACCCACTATCCATAAACACCGGGACTGAAGAAGGTAAGCTTTAAAAATAAAAGGTTAACAAGTTAAATGTAAAGATAAAAAAATGTTTTTAGACTAAGATTGTGATTGTTGAATATCCATCAATTGTTTCTTTAATTTAGTGGTTAATATTTTCTTTGTCCTTAGATCCCGTATAGGAGGTGGAAGATCATTCCAGCACTTTGATGCCGCAAACCTGAAGGATCCACGGAAAGCTACAGTATGATGTTTTGGAGTTCGAAAAAAAATTGTACAAGATCTCTTCAGGTACCTGCTGTAACCCTTAGCCCGCTCCAATTTCTCCGACAAGTATTGTGGCTTCCCTGAATGGATTACACCGAATAGCAGAGCTGCCAAATGGACCTTCCTACGTGCTTCCATTTTTAATATATAAAATGAGTTTAAATAAGGGGTAACGTGTGTTCGTGGAGGAATACGGAAACAAAAACGAGCGCATGCATTCTGTACTCGTTGAATAAGTTTAGCTGTCTTTTTCATTAAACATGGACCATAAACAGTATCACAGTAATTAAATTTAGAGAGAATTAACGATTCACATAATAAGATTCTCAGTTTCTCGGACAAGTATTGTCTAATATTATATAGTAGCTTAAGCCTATAGAAACAGTTACGGGCACACTCCGCGATATGAGTCTCGAATTTAAGATGACTGTCCAGTGTGAGCCCCAGACTTCTCGCTGTTTCAACCCGCTCTATTCTCACACCATCTATATGGACGCATATAGGCCTGTTATTGATCTTTTGCATACTACTTTTACTACCCAGGAGCATGAATTTAGTTTTGCAAGGATTCAATACTAGACAATTTGATTCGGACCAGGCTGAGATTCTTGCTAAATCCTCATTCACTTTGTTCTCAGCCGTAGTGATTTCAGATGGCCTGAAAGAGTAGTACATCTGTATGTCATCCGCATACAAATGGTACTTGCACTCACGTATGCAACCTATCACATCCGCGCTATACAATATGAAGAGAATGGGTCCCAGAATGGACCCCTGCGGGACGCCTCTCATGACTGGGAGGGAACGGGAATGAAGTTTGGTCCCATCGACCACTGGAAGCTCCACATATTGTAGCCTGTTTGTCAGGTAACTGTCGAACCATTTGACTGCATCCGAATCCAAACCATAGAACGCCAGCTTCGATAAAAGCAATGTTGTATTTATACAGTCAAAAGCACGGGAGTAGTCTAGAAGCAATAGCACACTGGCATAACCAAGATCCTGCGCAGCCAAAAGATTATCCACCACGTCCGTGAGAGCAGTTGCAGTGCCATAACCCTTACGGAATCCTGATTGAAATTGTGGGAGTATGTTGTGATCCTCAATGTATTTGGTCAATTGATCGCAGACTATTCTTTCTAATATTTTTGACATACAAGGAAGAAGGCTGATTGGCCTGAGATCCTGTATTGTCATTGGTTGCGATTTTTTGGGTAGTGGCTTTATTACTGCACGTTTCCAGCCATTTGGAAAGATGCCTTCCGCAAGGGACCGGTTTATAATGTTGGTGATTGCATCCAAGGAATGTGGCAAGGTTAGCAGCAACATTTCCAACGAGATATGGTCGTCTCCTTCAGCATTAGATTTTAGTCTCCTTATTGCTTTAAGTACCACATCCCCGCAAACAGGCTGCAGGCTAAAAGTGGCTGAGCTGTATCTATGATGTTCGAAGTAAGTCAGACTAGAAAGTGAAACATCATTAGCGCCAGGAACATTCAGAAAGTGCTTGTTAATGGCATCTGGATTGTCAAAAAATGGAGGTAATTCTGCCTCAACCTTCCCGTTAGGTAATATGTTTCTTTTCAGGTTGCGCCATAACTTTTTCCAGTTCCCGATATTATTATTAATATTTTTTTCAAAATAACTTTTCTTTTCACATTCTATGGCCTTATTTACTAGTTGCTTCATTGTAAGATAGCTGTCCCTGTGGACTTGGGTTTTGTGTTTTTTATACTTTATATGTCTACTGTTTCTTAATCGCATCATACACTTAATAGTATCCGTGATCCAAGGATGAGGTGGAGTCTTGAATTTTTTTGTTGTAACAGGTGCATGTAAATCAAATAATGCGGTAATAACAGATGAGAGATTATCGACAAGGACATCGACTCCATCCTTTGACTGCACGAAATAATCCCAGCTAACAGAATTGAGGTCCATGTTAAACTGGTCCAACAAAATATTTCCATAGGGTCTATAAGATACCCACCGGGGTGGTGAATGTTCCTTTTTTATCTTGAATTGCGCCCTTAGCATAGCATGTCTACCAAGTTCAGGAATGTGTTTGACTATCACATTAAGTGTTGTTAAGTCGGTACAGATGATGTCTATAAGGCTGTGACTATGCTGAGTAAAGTGTGTCGGCTCAGTAACTACTTGTTTAAGATTTAAGCTAAACGTGAATTGTTCAAAGGATTTTGCCATACCACTGCGACTATCAAGAAGATTCATGTTAAAATCTCCAACCAAAACAATGCCATCATGTTTAGAAAAAGACGTGATTGATTCAGAAATTGCATCCAGAAATATATCTTTGTCCTGCCATTGTGGCCGGTAAGCAGTTCCTATTAATATGTTCAGATTGTACAGACGTACTTTCAACCACATTTGTTCAATTTTTGAATTGACTGGATGTGAGTATATACGTCCATTTATCCCCTTACGTATATAGAACCCCACCCCCCCTCCTCTACCACCACAAACACCTTCAGACCTCGGCTTATGATAGAGTTTATAATTCGCCAGTTTCGGCGCCTTGTCAGATTGCCCCTCCCTTATCCAGGTTTCATTTATGGCTATTATATCGGGATCCATATCTTCAACGGCGACGATAAACTCATCGTGTCCTGTTCCCAAAGAACCGGCATTAAAGAGACCAACAGTAAATTGGGTAGATTTAATCATTAATAAAATTAATTAATAAAGTAGCGGCCAAATTTTGAGAAATATTAACTTTATAAATAATGCACGTAATATTATTATAACCTGTCATATTACTTTCTTCACTACAACACAAACAAAGGAGTCACATACTAAATATAATGCCAAAGGTCTAATAATATTATTATTTACTTAAACCACCAAACCCAGTGAAATAACTACTTGAATGTACATAATCATATTAATTATTAGCATTTTATATTTGATGAAGTTTAAATAACCAATGCTTTAGTGATATTACAATGGGATTCGAACCCGTAACATTTCTTATTCCAGGCGACTGGCCTAAACATTGAGCTACGTCAGTCTTACCGACATTGAATTGATGCTTTGCTACTAGTGACTAGTGGGCGTATCAGAAATAAATATTTTTGAAACTTTCGATTAAGACTAACATGCCTTTAAATTATTATATCTGATCGATTTTGATTTCACTAAGAAAAGTTCTTAATCGGGCACATGGCACGGGCGATTAAGTAGATTAAGGAGAGGTTGTACGAAATTATCACTTTTGAAATAATTTTTTTTAGTCTATATTAATATTTGCCAAATAAAAAATATTTTATGAAAATTAAACATATGGTCGGTTGATTGAATTAACCAGAAACATAAATTTTTATAATTGACTTGAATGAATGAATAATGAATGAATGGATAAATCTTTATTGTACATAAACACCAATAATAGGAAACAATAAAATCGATTTTACAACTAATATATTTCATCTTAACTATACAAATATATAGATATACAAAAGTAGGTTTTGATTTAACTTAGATTAATCAAAAAACTTTTTATAACTGTAATTTTTTCTATGAAAGTGTATGGAATCAATCGAGCACGTCTTTAGTCTCGATGCGTATTTGTATGGGAACATATAATTTTTAAATATATGTAATATTTGTATTTTTGTTACTTATCCATAAAATAAGAAAAAAAAGTTTTGGTTATTATTTAATAATAACTCGTATAATTTAAATCGGTATCATTCTACTAATATTGGAAAGGTATAAACTGACATTTGAATTTTATCAAATAGTGTCCGCCGTATGAGTAGGTGTATATAAGAGTGTGCGAAATTTGAGTAACATCACAGTCGGCACAGATCCTTCAACACTAACAGCAAAAATGAAATCTGTAAGTTATTTGACGATGTTTGATAATATTTAATGTATAGACATATAACTGATTTACTGTTATAAGAATAATTTTGGTTACGACTATGAAAGTAAAGACGGAGTTCGCCGAACAACGAAGTGAAGCCGGACTTAACGAATGTATTGTGCGTGCCGGTGTGACCTTAGTCATTAAGAATACTCCAATAACTTAAAGTTATGACGTTATATATTTAACGTTCATGATATTTTATAATATAATTCAGCTTTATGTAGTAGTATAATTATTTAAATTTGTATGTCTAAATCTACACATTGAAATGGAAAAAGTGTATCAAGAATAAAAGTACCGAGTATTAGCTTTGTGTTTATTCGAATTTAATACCATTTTTAAAAAACACTTCTTTATTATATCATACTTAAGAAGTTATTTTACAATGTGATGTCTATTGTCTACTCATTAAAATAAATTGGATTACTCATTTGTAGTGTACATATCATCGCTCATAAAATGAGTCGGAATCTACTGACTGAAATCTACTTTCACATTTTGGTGACGACTCGGAAATTTAAACTCTAAAAATGAATGCAAATTTAACCAGGGTATTGTATTTGGTCGGATAATTGTGTACCAAGGAAAACCTTGAATTATATTTTTAAATTAGGGAAAATGTAAGTTTTCTCTTACACTATTACTTGCGATATGTGTGATAAGACCCAGCATTATTCGATTCGCTGTTAGGTCTATTTGTTTTTATTTGATCTGAGAATACCACCTGTTGATTTTAATTATCACCTAAAACTTTTATCAAGCTTTATGACATCGAAATATAAAATGCAATTCAAAATTTGATAATGATTTAACCAATTTCTATTGACCTGCAATGCAAAATTGGTCGAATGATAGCATATAAGCTTATAAGTATTATAATTTATATTTCCCTTACAGTTCATAGTTCTCGCCTGCCTGGTCGCCGCGGCGCTCGCCGTTCCCGTGGACCCGAAGGATGCCACCATCGTCAGATACGACTCGGACAACATCGGAGTTGACGGATACAAATACGAGTGAGTCATAGTTTATCGCAATCTTGTGTGTACTGTACGTAGTGTACAAATATCAATTTTATTTTTATTATTATTGTTGGCTACATTTGCATATATAAATCTTTAGAATTTCTCGAGTAATCGTTACCTTTGCGTCTATTGACCTAACTTCCATCAATAATTATGTGGGTTACCAGAATATGTGGCTCCTACTAGGGAGAGTTACTTTTTAGTTAGTCACAATTTTTTAAAGACTTGAGATTGATATAACAAATATTGAAAGATTGAGATAACACTGCGGATGCAAATTTTATGAAAATAACAATTTAATTTTGAAAAAGTTAAGCTTGTTACAATATTTCTTACGTGTATCTATCGAATTAGACCGGCCGGAGTGCTATACGATTAAATGCATTAATATATTATAATTACTTCAACTGTTATACTTACTGAGTATTATTGTATAACATAGTTATTTCCAATACCTTTTTATTTACAAAAGATTTTATGCAACTTTAAATATAAACAGGATGTTCCTGTTTATATTTAAAGTTGCCGATAGAAGCTAATTGTTTCAAACTAAATTCATAATTCTATTCAAGGCTATATGTAAAAATTAATCGATCACCAGAATAACTACGTATCTTGAACTAGTTTTGTCATTTAAAAATGAGGAAAATTATTTGTCAAACTAGTTTAGTTAACGCACTGATTTGAATACTACTCAACACGTTGAATCAAGTTGAATGAATTAAGCAAATATACCAAGTTACTTATAATAACTTTTTGTTATTTTAAAACATCTGAGCAAATAGCTCCAAACTATTTTAAGTGGAATATAAAATAGTTAACGAGATGTATAAATTAAACAATAATGGCAACGACGTGTTTTGTATCGACAAGAGCTGAAGCTTCACTCACTCGTTCTTCTTGACAGCCAAAGTTACGCCGACATCTATCTAATAACGACTACAAAAAGAGATATAGAAGAAGAGAAGAGGAGAAAGAATATTTTATTTTAAATTATAAAGCATTCAATGTCAAAATGTAACAAATAGTCGTTACACATTTGTTTTCTTGGAATAGGCAATAGCTGTCTATGCAATCATACATAGCCGAATTCTTAATATCAAATTTTTTATTCGACTGTCAAACAAGAGAAACGCTTTGTAGACTGTGTGTCAATATTTGGATGTGTAGCTTAAATTTAAATATTAAATGATGATTATTACTAAACTATTAAAGGTCGAAATGCTCTGCTTATTTAATAATCATTCTACTACTGCTACTATGAGATTTTGGATTAAAGATGGAATCAATTATGCCATTAATAATATAAAGACTGCCCAGGGATAATGAAAAAGAGAAACAAATTAGAGACAATGAATTCTGTCTCTGAAAATAACACAAAACCATATATTTTAGGTTCCAAACCAGCGACGGAACGTCAGCCCAGGAGCAAGGACAGTTGAAGAACGTGGGCACAGAGAACGAGGCGATCGAGGTCCGCGGCCAGTTCTCGTACACCGGTCAGGACGGGCAGGTGTACACCGTCACCTATGTGGCCAACGAGAACGGCTTCCAGCCCCAGGGTGCCCATCTGCCCCAACCCTGAACATCCACAACACTAGTCACACACTATACGACTGATTAGCTAATAATAAAATGTTTACGATAATAATAAAATCTTTTAATTATATTTGAACAATTTTGCATTCACAATGCTATAAAAATCGCTTTGTCGTATCTCAAAGTGTCAGGGACAAAGTTATTTTTTAAGCCAATTTTCATTAAGATTGTCTTTTATTATGTTCAAATACATTCTATTAGAACTAACACTAGAAACAGTTATATGATAAAAATCAAAAGCAAACACTGAAAAAGTAGTAATCAGAAAAAAAAAAATTAGCGCGTGTATGTTAGACTCTCATCTTCATTTCAATGGCGAAAAACAAATTACAGACACCAACAGATTAAAAAAAACATAAAAATTTCTGGTCGATGATTATTTATTATTTAGTATGCACAATAAAATCCAAAATACTTTTGTTGAAAATGTCCAAATGTCCACAACACAGGGGTCTTTCTTAACAGAATTAATTTTATTTTGTATGTTTCAGTCTCATTTACGCTTTCTATTCTATTCATTACAATAGAAAATACCTTTTGCATCTGCTGGCACTATTTAATTTAAAAGTAATATATAGACTAGTAACAGTGTCTCCTATTTACACTTTAGCTATTTGTTCATTAGTACAAAATAATACTTCCTGGCTTAAGCAATAGTTGTTAGAGTGCGAAAATGTCACCTATTTATTTATTAAGATGTACAAAAAACGTGACAACCAGGTGAAAATACAAATTAAAAGTATGTTTTACAATTACTCTATATACGATAAACATGCATCTATATACTTAAATAATTCTTACATGCGTTTGGAGGATGCTTGGGGATTACATAAGATTTGAAAATCCACAAATTCTTGCGACTGAACAAAAATTCATTCCTAAAATGATACGCGAAACTATTTAAATAAAAAAAAGCATCCGAATTTTAATAGAGATGGAGGTTGGAATATACAATCGGCTTGGAATCCAGTCCAGATCACGCATTGCAAAACCAAAAGATACAGTTACGTCATTCTGTAAATATTAAATCAATGGAATCATTTCATTTTTCTGGTCGGAGTTTATTTCACCAGTTCTTCTCAGACAAGACTCCCCAATTAATAAATGTAAACGTTGCCATTAAATATTTAAAAAAAAAATGTATTGCGAATGTGTCCAATAGTATTGGTTTGAATGTAGTTATACTCTTAATTAAAAAGACAATCGACACCATCGTCTTATGTGAACACGGAACCTGGAAAGGGTCCGAAACGTCAATAAAACCTAATAAACCGTTTACAAGTTGTTTCATTTATATCACAACTATACCGTTACAACGTTTTAATACTTTTTTTGTAGTAAAAAATTATAAAGTTTATTTAATATTTTAATTGCGTATAAAAAAAACATAATATAATAGATAATTAAAAAAGAATACAATAGATGATAACTTTTTTTTTTCATTTTAAAGTAGTAAAATTAGTACAATCTTCTTAGTAAAATTAGGTAAGTATATCGGTTGTCGGTCTTGAACGGAGATGCGACAAATGGAAATACTTGCGAAGGTTCAAAATGAATCGAATACACATATCTACACAGCTCTAATTTGTTAAGGAGTTCCTCAGTTAGAGCAGTATAGAAAACATCGGCGTAGTCAATGATGGACAGCAAGAGAGTTTGTGCAAAAGTTATTAATCATTAATAAATATCTCTTATATAAATATAATTTTTGCAAATACCCTCCAATATGTAGGTTTATGATCTCAAATTCCGAGGTGAACTTACTACAATAATTATATTAAAAAAATAAACGCTTAATACCTCAAATATCAGCTATCTCTACCAATAAACTCGCCAGAATAACAATAAATGATATTTTTATCGTTGCCTATTAATTATCGGTTATATAAAAAAACAATGAAATAATTTTTAATGCGTACTTCGAAGATGTCAAGCATCCAATTACTAATCCGCATCTCCAGACAGCTCATATAGTAATGTTTCATTTCCGACAATGCGATCGCTATCATACCCGTAGGTATCTATTTTCGTCTTTCATTCGTACGGTGAATGTTTTTCAGGTGGAAGCTTCTAAGGCAACTCTTTGTCGACAACAATCCATTAGCAGATATCTCGCCACCTCGCACTCACCTACATCAAAGTTAATCAAAGGACCCGCAAAGAACTACAAGGAATTCCATTGTGGAAAATAGATACAGACACATCGTATGACAGAGTGCTCTATTTCGTAATTGAGGAGTCATTTTTAAGGTTTTATTACCTATTTTAAGTTTTCAGTTATTTATTTATTCGTTTTGTTATTGCTATCAACAGATTGAGTTTTTTAAATAAATTGATGTTTGATGTTACCCAAAAGTAAAGTGGTAATTTATTAAAATAACATTGTTTTATTCTTCTGATTTTAAATTGGCCGTGTTGAGTGAGTTTGGTTAACTATATAATTATAAATTAAACCGAAATATCAAGATATGATCAAATCATAGAGAAATAAAAATTGTGGACGACTGACACTGGCCATCGGCTTGTGTAAATAGTTTTTATTATATTTTGTGTTTTTATACTTTGTAATTCTTCTCCTCCTTAACCATCCATAAGGAAGGCCTGAGCCCCTGCAGTGGGGACGTAAAAGGGCTGATGATGATGATGATACTTTGTAATTTGTATTTTTACTATTTATTCCTTTTGATATCTGTCAATTTAATTAAAATTATTATCAACCAACTGTAATAGAAATATTGAAATAAATTTTTATTCATAGTCACAGGCTTGTCCGAGATGTCACTTCAATGGACAGATCACAGAGTAAATGATTATTCACTAATTATGTCCTGTATATGTTTATAAGTTAAATTAAGAATGTGGCGTCCAAAGTTTTTGTTGTGTTGTTTTAGGTAAATCGACCCAGAAAGAGATTTGCTACATATTCCAAATTGATTATACTAATCTATTATACCGTGTAATGGTCTCCTACGTGAAATTGGTAGGATTGTGGTTAACACAAAATAGCCATTAAAATACATTAAAATAGAAGAAGAAGAAGAGTAAATAATTTAAACTGTTAATAAGAAACACCAACGTGATCAATGTTAAGTGTCCATCTGCAAATTGATATAAACAAACACGTGTAAGCACATTCCTTTATTTATACATAAACATGTTTAATTAATTAAATGTAAATTTATTACACTTTAAATGATGACATATTCCAAACGTGTACATTATAATTGAGAGTAGGTGTTTTTTATAATCCTGCTACCAATATAGTATTTGATGTCTGACATTTAAGATAACTGAATATTTATAAAGGATTTTGGCATTTTCGTTGAATCTTCATAAATTAAGATTGTTATAGACGTGTGTAAATATTTTATTATAATAATGTTTGCTATTTGTAAATCGGCTGTTAATTTGTCTAAGGTAAAAAATAGGAGCGTATGCGTATTGCTGTGTTTATATAAGGTTACTAAATAAATGTAAAATTTCTTGAATGTATTTGGAAACTAACACTTAATAAAGTAAGGTTTAATTTTGGTTACAGAAATTCGACAGATTTTATAACCCGACAGGCATCCTATCCTGTTGACTCTTTTCTTTCTGGGTCACGAATTAATAAGTAAACAATGGAAAATACGTTATCATGAATTTATATTGGAAATTATTACGTTTACAGAATATTTATTCATCTTAACAATACTTCGTCCACAAAGTAGAGTGTCATTCTTTACGAAACCCTAAAAGTAGATAGGCAGTTAGAGATTACATCTGTGGTGGCATCAAAGACGCTTTGACGTCGTGACGAGGTGTTAATGCACCGTGCTACTAATGCACATTGGTACTTACAAAGGTAGTATAAGTGATTTTTCATATTAAATAAATGTTACATCTAATGTGAGATGGCGGATGATGTTATTGTAGTCATCATTTACCGTTAGCCTATTAATGTTCCTGGTTGTGAAAACAAATCTTTCCTACATAGAGAATCCCACAGGGAGGGCGAGGATAACTCACTACCAGCTTATGTATTTGCATACTGTATTATTTATAATATTGTTAGATTTATTGGTTTTAAATAAACGTTGGTCAGATTCCAATTAAAGTAACTAAAGCACTTGTGTGCATTCTGTAAGCATTATGGAAATCTGTAACCTTCAGGTATCAACATCCAGAATTGAGAGGTAGAAAAGTTCATTTTCTTCATTGACTTGCCGGGAAAATAAGGACGAGTGAGTCAGCTGCGGATTAGGTTTGTAATAATCTATAGTCTCTTCGCCGCTATTGGCTGAACGCAATTATTAAGATAATAATTAATACTTAGACTTTTAGTCTATGATAATATTAAATTCCACATACACATACCCGCCCGAAGCCCGACAGTACTTCCTGCGCCGTTCGCCTCCATTTCGGCCCACTCCTTGGGCGGGGTTGGGTTGGGCTCGTATCAGTGGCATTTGAGTCATACCTCCTAGGCGGGCAATGCCTGGCTAGCGCGTAAACCAGCCAGACTGCTTCCGACTAAAGACTGGAAAATCGCAGCTGTGCATTTCCTAGTCCCGTCCAGTTGGGAGGACCCACTTATAATCCTTGTCTGGAATCCTCTCATCATCCTCATTCTCTGGAAAAATGGAAGTGGTTCGATGCGCCCTACGGTGTCCAGTCCGAAGAGCGGTCAACTTAAGATGCAACCTAATTTTACTCAAATATTTCCTAAATGTCAAGTCACCAAGACGGTTGCTAGAGAAGAATTTTAACAAACGAAACTTAGCAGATTTGCAAGAAACAGTTTTATGACACTATGATTAATAGCTGATCTCTGATAGTGCATAATTATCACCGCATAAACGATGACCTTTGACCTCTGTTGCATATTGATAATAAAATGTCTATTAGGATTTAAATTTAAGATGATCGTTCATCTCCGAATTTGATTAAATTAATAATTGCATTATGAAGGTTGTGAACTTTTGTCTATGGTATAATTTATCAATTCAAACCTTAAGGTCATCAGGGTGTGGTCAAATATATCGATGATTCGTTCCACTTCATCATAGATCATAGTATGTTCGGTCATTATCTTGCGTCAACATATAAAACAAAGGACAACTATATAATAATATATATCATATTATTTATTTTTATATATAGTCGTTATGTTTATTTAAACGTATTAAACACTTATAGGTAATGACAGAATCATTATATAGTACCTAATTAT